ACTGATGGAAAGGGGGGAAGAAAAAAGGAAATTGGAGTCAAACAGTGGCCCAAGAAACATTTTTGTGAAGACCCTCACCCCTCTGTGAATGCAAATTCAACAGCTTTGCCCAGGCACCGTGTTAATGACAAGTAACAGTAATTAAAGAAATCTGTTTTCTATCAGATGGGCCACATTTACAGCATTATTTCTGCCCTGAGATCATTCACACGTCGATACGTGCCCTAAGATTCCCCCACACTGTACACAGGGAAATTTGCCTGTACCGGGAGCGACCAGGTAGGTGGGCACAGACCTGGACACGCTCCGCGGGGTTTTCACCCTCAACCTGATGGATCTATTAGGTACCCAAACACGTAACTCCTGCACAAAGACCTCCCCCAGTGCCAGTGCCCCCATACAGTGGGAAAACAAACACAAAAAACTGGTTAGCAACACCGGAAAAACGAGTTTTGTTAAGACAAGCTGAGGGAGCAACTCCTGCTCCAGCCCACCTATAATTCCCAGGTCTTTTTCACCTTGTTTCCCAACCCTGTTCCACAGGGAAGAGCATTTACACGTTATAAGCCTGTTACAAACCACATAGGAAGCCTTTGAAAGCTGGGAAATTCTAGCTTGGCACGTCCCTTTGATAGAGCTGATTTATAGAGCTGCCCTCGCGAGGTCATGGGCAGCTTGAGAAAGGGCCAGGAATCTTAATGCGGTGTTCAAGATGTGGGAAAGGAAAAGCATTAAAATTCAATAATGGAAGGCAATGGATTAAAAAAAAAAAAAAAAAAGGAGAAGAAAAAGAGATTCCTGCCAAGATATAAAAGCATTGAGGAAAAAAAAGGTTTTAAAATGCTGTAAACTACTATTGCCTGAAGTGCTAAAACCCATTTTGCATTAGGAATGGGCACAGCTGCAGAGAGGGGGTCACCCTCCCTGGAAACAGCTCTTGGGGTGACCTGCAGGCTGAAGCTCATTGCTGTTGCTGCTCCTGGTGACAGCAGGTTTCTTTATTTAGACTTCCCTTAAATCCAGACTACACCATTAACATTTTGTGCCTATAAGGGCTTCTTTTTACATTACATTAATATTTAATGTCAATATTGGGCTCCTTCTTTTCTTCTACAGGCAATATCTAAACTAATTTATCCCATTGGGGTCAGAAAAAGATGCAGCCCAGTGTAAACTGCCTTGTAGGAAGCAGCAATGGAATAAAAGATTTAGGAAACCCTGGGCGACCCGCAGGGCAGGACCTGGCGCCCCCAGAGCCGCAGCCAGCCCCTGCCACGCTTCAGTCCAAGGGAACAACAACTGTGGAACAACCTACCTGAACAACAAAAAAGCCCTCACTTCTTGGCTGCCAATGATCTTGGTTCCATACAGAGTTCCAGTTTATGTAGACAGTAAAAGGGAATGGCTTGATTTGCTTCTTTTAATTTGGGGCTTTGCAAAAAAAAACCCAAACAAACAAACAAACAAAAAAAAACCACACACAAGCCCAAAAAACCAAACAAATCAACTTGCTTTTTAAGCTTGAGGTAAAATATTCTGCATATTGCAAATTAAGTAAGTAAGCAACAGGTTATTCACACAAAGTCACTCAAAGAGCTCCTCTTCTACCAGCTCTCATTCAGCAAGTTATCAGCCAGTATCCAACTTCATTAACTCTGCCCTGCAGCTCGGTTTTGGGCCAGAACATGGACCTGGTACCTTCTGATTGCTACTTTCTTCCAGTGTTTCAAATTGCATCTCAAGGGCAAGTACAACCCTATTAATAATTTTAAGTTTTAAAGGCATTTTGCAGAAATTCAGATGCTTTTGGTATGTGAAAATGAGAAAAGGGGCTTTTTGAAAAGCCTGTTTCAAACCAATTAAATCTGATACTTTCACAAACGGGTGTGAAAGCATTTGAGATTTACCTTTCTTATCACCACCACAAAACTGTCTCAGCTATTTATTTATTTATTTATTTTTTAAAAACTGCTAGGAATATCTAAGAAAACTGTAATATTAATAAGGTATGTGTAAATTACTGCAAAGGACTTACTAGAATTTAAAAGATATATTTCAATACCATAAAGTAAACATTAGAGAAACATTAGAGAACATTAGAGAAAATTTAGTAACAGTATGTAAATCAAAAGGAATTGGTCTGAAAATCTCTATTAAGGAATCCCTTTTTAGGATTATTTCCCTCTTTCACTGTACCCCCAGAGGTGGCCAAAGCACTGTTGTCCATTACCAAGTCTTGACACCCAAACACCTTTAAGAGGAGGAGGGACGTGGTCTGTAACCACCATCCGACACGCAGAAATCGCCTCCGTTCCACTTCTGAGTAAGTAAAGAAATATAAAAATGAGCGTGATTTTAGAGGAAAAACCAAATGGATGGATATAAGGGATTCAGGCAACGTGTTGCCACTGTTTCTCTGGGAAAAAAAATCACAAGCCAGTTGTTTTCTTGGGAAAAAAATACTGGAGATCAGGGATGTATTTGGATACTGCACACCGGTGTGGATTTGGAGGTTTCCTGCCATGCTCTGGGGCAGCAAGACCAGATGAAGGCTGAACGTACCCTTCCCAGGCAGCCGAGAAGGGAACCGGGGCTGCGCACCGCTGCGCCCTGCCCCTCCGCACAGCCAGCCCCCCGCCATGCCCAGGTACTAACGAGGGCTAATTAATACAGCCACGAACACGTAACTACCAATACTGTCATCCAAGGGAAGTCTGCAAGCTGGAGCCTGAATGCTCACGGAGCAGAATTGCTAACAAACCCATTCTTGCCGATAAACAGGTGCGTAATGCGACGGGCTGTGTTTTAGAAGGGGAGCAGACTGCAAACGCTGTCTCTGAGATCCCTTACGTAAAAAAAATGGTGTATTTCTTTTTTATGAGCTCCATCTAACGGTTGATTTCGTTTTTACACAGCTACTGAGAAACATTCCTTTGTGGATTTCTTATATTTCTTAAGACAGCGCGTTTCCCATGTTAAAAAGGGAGCGTATTTGGCTGAAAGGAATTTAGCTTTTCAGCCAGAAAGGTAAAAGCAGCTATTTCCGGGAAATGCTGGAAATACTTCTGAAAAGACTACTGATCTTTTAAATACGTCAGTATTTTTCTAGCCCTACAGTCATGGAAATAACGCTGATACTAATCCAGCATCTTAAAACTGGGATTAGCAGAGCCGTGTAAGCGCAGACCGTCGGGCAGCCAATGTTAAAACGGTGCTCAGGGGGGCAATTCCTAAAAGCCCGACTGTGCCCAAAATATGCAAAGGAAAATAGCTGGAAGTGTAATTTTGTTTCGTCAGGAAGGCTTCTGGCAGAGCATTTTGCAAGGCATCTCGCCCTGGGCCACGTGCTATCGATCGGTGACTGATGCTGGGGACCGCCGAGAGCTGGGTGGGAGCGAGGGCATCCCCGGCATGTGGATTCTAGCGGAGAGCTGGAATACAGCCGCGCTGCCTGCACTCTTCATGCTTACCTACCACTGGGCTGTTGAAGCACAGAAAATAGTACTTAAAATATCTTAAAACTGATATTTATTCAGTATTCAAAATTCATGCTTTAAGGTATTGCTGAGATAAACTTGAAATGTACCAATTTAAGGGTCTGAAGACCTGGTATTTTAAGGTGTTGCACCCCAGAACAGTGAGGCACGGACGCCAGGGTAGAGGATGCTGCTGTGCTGCAAACAGGAGGGAAAGCGCCTGCTGCATCAATGGGTGCCAGACCCACGGAGACCCCCCTGACCACTCCAAACAACCAAAAAGCAGCCCCAAGCAGAGACCTGCCTGGACCTGCTCGCGGCACCAGGGAAGAAGAAAACTCCCTTCACAGGCTCTGCCTGTTGTGTTTGGTGATGTTTAATTTCCTACGGAGATGGATTGGGAACTGCAACACTGACTCTGTGTCCCTGGTCAGCACTACGCTCCTTACCTTCTATTTAAAACATTCTAAAACTGATTAAAAATCAATTATCATCTGCTTGCAGGAATGAAATGAAGGAGGATGTAAGACCTTAAATCTCCTGTGTTAATGGCAGGCATGAATATCCTCAAAAATACATCAGAATTATCAAAATATTCATGAATTTTGTGTAAGAAGAAAAATAACCTTCTTTATTAAAGAGCAAATTGGTTGAAATTCTTGTTAAACACAAGAATGTAGCAAAAGTTACCAAATAAGTTGCACCTCAGTGGTAAGCATCGTCGCTGCTTTCCTACTTGGCAGTTCAGTGCTATGCAACGGCAGGTCGGCACGCTTTTTCCTTACACATGATGTTAGACAGATCCTGTCTCGATGAAAACGTGATACCTTGATGGGAACCCAACCGTGCAAACCCACACATTCCCCTTTCAAAGCCAAGGCTTAAAAGGAATGTGTTAACTTTCATCTGCTCTTTCCTGTCTCATGTGAAAAGAAGAATTATTCGGCCATAACACACCAAGATATTTACACATAGTTTTGTATTGAATTTACAAGCTCTCCTTCAGCCACCAAATTTCTTCAAACTGCACTCTCTCAAGCCCCAGAAAAAGTCACCTCCCATCCCACGGTGGTGTCCAACTACACAGGTGACTGGGATATGGAAAATGGTTAAGCACAACTGAGATCCTGACTCAATCATCTTTAGGAGAAATAATCTGGAAAAGCTGTAACTGAAAAATAAATGAATTTTGGTTTCTACTCCATTTATAGAAAAATGCAGAATACTTCTTTAAGCCTGTGAGAATGCAAGGCAATGCCAGCTACTAGAAATGAGCTTTTTTAAATAACAATTGACTTTTTCACCCTCTAAAACTAAAGTTTTGTGGAAACACAAGTTAAAACCTGGCAGTTAGCTGGACTGCTTCGCACACCCAAGGCTGTGCGATGGCAGGAGACACATCACACCCCCAAGCTCTGGCACACACAGACCCCCCAACCCCGACACGGCTGTGCCCTGTGAAGAATAAGCTCCCGGCTGTGGGGCGGCATCCACCCGCGGGCGCTATCCCTGACCCTCGGGTACCTCGGCATCGTACTCCCAGAGCTGGTTCCCCCTCATGTGGTGACACTTCAGCATGGTGATGGGGCCATTCAGCCTCGAGACGTCCAGGCACAAGTCGTCCGTGCGGATCTCTTTGTCAGCAGTGTAAGAAAACACCTGGGAACAGCAAACAGCAGTGACACAGAATTAGCAAAAGTCCTAAGGTACCGCTGATCCAGAATATACGGAATTGTCACGCCAGTGGAGCAGAACGAGTCTTCTCCAAATGCTGGTGGTGGTGCCTTGGGTTTCACCAGAGTTTCATGCAAGCTTCTCCGCTAGGAATGTCTGTTGTACATAAGAGAAGGAGTATCACGTTTAGGAAAAGAGATGTTATGGGACCAAGCCCAGGAAGGCCCCAGGCATACACCTGGTTTTTACCTCCTGGGAGTTCTACAGAGGCGTGTCATTACGCTTGGTGTCTTCGGGAGAAATTCCACCGATCTTTTAACACACAGATAAAGCTCATCACTGGAAAAATCCAAACTTCCCTAAACTAAGCCTTCCCCCTAGTATCTACCTTAGCTTTGGGTACCAAGGATTATCTGGGTTAAAGACTCACACGCATGAGTATTTCAGAAATACCAGGTCACTTAATAAAAATAGGAAGTAAGACACAAGAGAACACCCTCGCCAAACTTCTATCAAACCAGCTGCAAGCTTCAGGGGGACGGTTTAACTGAACACCTCTGGGGAGGAGCCAGGGGGACAAAACCCAGGCTGTGGTTGACTCTTTTCGCAGAACATGTGCACAGTGAGAATCATGGAATCTTTTAGGTTGGAAAAGCCCTTTAAGCCCATCGAGTCCAACCGTTACCCCAGCACTGCCCAGGCCACCACTGACCCCTGTCCCTGAGCGCCTCGTCCACACGGCTCTGAAACCCCTCCCGGGATGGGGACTGCCCCCTCCCTGGGCAGCCCCTTCCAACCCCTGACAGCCCTTTCCGGGAAGGAATTTCCCCAATATCCAACCTAAACCTCCCCTGGCACAACTTATTGCCTATGCGCAGTAGCACGTTTCTAGATGAGCTAATGTATTTTGTATTTATTTTTTTGTTAACATCCTTTATTAATACATTTCCACACAGCTAGTTCAGCAGCAGAAATAAACCCTATAAAGCCAACGGTCCATGAAGCCGACACTTAGGACATCGGCCCGACTGAGCTGAGAGACACGCCTCACCTATCACTGATAATTTTACGCAATCTTCATGTGTAAAAGGAACTAACGAAGTATTCCTCCTGATTAAAGTCTGAGAAACTAATCAGTTTGTTCCACACCAATACAGTGCCAAGCAACATCATTAACTGGAAATCAGTGGGATGATCCATACAAACCTGTAGCTATTTATGCAAGTATTTATATGTTTTCTTATATATATTTACACATTTTAGTAATATACATTTATATATACAAAGCCTGTATTTATATATTTATTTATATATTAAAGCATATGGGGTGCAACAGCCCATGGCCAGAACTTTGCTGTTCCTTGGTTGTCCTTTTCTTTGGAAAACAGTTGGCCCGAGTATTTTGTCAACTATAAGAAGTCTAATGCTGAGAATATTGCTCATAAACCTTTATTTTATGCTTCATTACCTGGAACTAAATCTTGAGGATGCATCTCTGCAAGAGAGGAAGAAGTCTGCCCTGCGATGAAGAGAGTTATAAACCGGACGTAACTGAGTACAGAAAAATCTAATTTATTCTGACGACCACTTTAATTATCTATGGAACTCCCAAAGGTAAATTTTGAATTCACCTTTCATAATTGATTTAAAATATTCTAATAAAAGCTGCAAGAAAAGCACTTTTCCTCTTCTCCTGAAAGTATTTACAGATTAAATGTTGAAAGTCACCTTAGGCAAAACAGGTGAATTGAAGCTGATTCCCATAAAAAGATCCTGGACTCTCACAGTTAAATTGCCAGTTAAGTCACTTTTGAGGGCGAGGACTTGGCTCTTTCACCTCTTCACTGAAATCTCATCTTCATCCAGGTCAGGCAATCGCTTAAGCATTTTAGCCCCTGGATGAATCCAGAAAAGACACCTCACAACACGGGCAGGTGGGCTCAGTATTTCCATCAGAGGGGACTTTTTGGGAGATTGGTGGCACAGGCAAGTCTAGCCCGTATCAGGGAACAACTGCACTAACTCTTTGGTGGGAAAAACACCCACCTCCAACACTCCACTTTTCAAAAAACAGCTCTTTAGGAAAAAAGAATAGGACTTCCATTCGTGCTTGTGTAGCATGCACGCTAATGCACACCAGTGTGAGCAGAAATGCATGCCTCCTTCCTCACCTTCTCGGCAGCTCCTGTAGCATCCAGCCACTGCTGGGGCCGCACGCTCACTAGGCGACTTTGGGAGAGAACAGCAATTTCTGTGCCCCCGGTCCTAGAGAGATCCGACCCTTCATCCGGAGCCCTTGGGACCGGACATAGCCAGCCCTGTTTTAATTCCAGACAATTTATAGAACAGGGTTTAGTTTTTGCTACTCAAACAGTTTCTTCTCACCCTGAAGGAAGATATTTAAGCTAAAACCAAGACAGTGCAATACCAGCAGGGTATTAAATGTCATCAAGGGTCGATCTTCAGTTCATTGGATGGCCCGACGCCGTGCCCAGCAGATGCGTTTCCCTGGAGCCACTCCAGAAATAGGGATCAGATGTATTTCTAAAAAAGAGGTTATGTCGAGATCTCCCAAGCCACAAAAGGTACAGTCACGTGAGGCGGTGCACGGTATGGATGCTGCCAAGCCAGACCCGACTTTCACATCCTGGGAAGTTCACACGAAGCTTGTTCTCAACCCCTAACCACCCGTGCCAAGAATTCCCTTCTCCCCGTGCTCAGTGCAAGGAGAGAAACACTGTAATTCAGAGTGATTCACCGTAATCCAGAGAAACACTGTAATTACCCCCAGCTCCCACGGACTGAAGGCAACAGCTGGAACCGTACTAAATGGTCAACGTAATACAAGTGAAATAAAATAGAGGGCAAGAAGGCTGCCTGGCAGCACCTGCTGGGGCACGTACAGTAACAACCGCGGGGATCTGCAGGGGACACCGCGCTATAGCGAGGTTTCCAAGGGCTGCCAAGGGGCTCGGTTTTATCGCCGTCAGGAAACGGCACTGGCAAACACCCCGGCATCAGCCCTTTGGCAAGCACATCTTCCCAAGACCCAAACCTTTGCCCTCCACCACAGATCCGTCTGTCCTTCTCTAAACTCCTCTTATTCCGTACGGGCTCCAGGTGCATTCAACATTTTGCACATAAATTGCAACCCCCCTCCTTTTTGGCTCCACAGTGGTAGAGGGGGTGTGGGCACTCGTCTGCATTTTATCCACCCAGGCTTCACTACTGCGATGTTCCACACGCAGCACTAGTCCTCCCGCCTCCCTCGGTGACCACTCCTGCCCATTCCACGCAGCAGCTATTCAGTTTTTCCACAGGCTCTAAAAAGAAGGCATTACTCCCATCCTGCGTGTGCTAAATAAGAGATACTGTTATTTAGCACGCAGGCATGGCTCCTTTGTTCCCTATTAATCACAGTAATTATAACGGTGCTCAAGATCACCGAGGGCTCCGTTGTGCTGCGTCCTGAGCAAACCCAGAGTATCAGACATTCCTGCCCCCAAGGTTTATCACCTCAATCCCTAAGAATGATGTACAGTCTGCAGGGGGAATCGTATCTCAGCAAAACGGACGAACGAAACACAAGCAATGACTAGTTTTATTCAGAATGGGTTTGTTTAGAAGAGGGAAAAAAAGCCAAGTTAGGGAAGACAGGAGATTGTAAAAGGTGAAAAAGGCAGGAAGAGCAAAGAAGGGCTCAGTTACCTTCTGGTAACCACTTATGGAACCTACCTTTTACCTAAGATATTACAATCAACAAAATCAAAGCAGTAAACTCATGAAGTCAGTGGAGGGCGATGTGTTTTCTTACCCCGTGAGCTCTCTAAGGAGATCAGCTGCACAAGTACTGCTCAATTCCCCTTTCTGAACATAACTGTACCAGTGGCATGAATGTCTCACTGTCCCTCAACGAAAAGTTTTATTCTGTTCAATCCTGTGCACAGAATGCTTTTAGATGATAAATTAGCTAACTGAAACATGCAAAACGCGACTCCTGCATCAGTCTGCCGGGGCCGAAGCGCGAGCTGCGAGCAGGTGGCTTTGCTGGTACCCACAGCACGTTCGCCCCGCCTGCCGTCGGGGTCTCTCTCGCACATCTCCTCATCTGGCAGTGGCATTATTACAGAAAAGTACTTTATAACTTACTGCAATGGGAGGCCTTCCATTACAGAAATGCCTCACGAGTCAGACAGCTCACACATTTCCATCCTTTCCCAGGAGTAAGCAAATTATTGCAGCACACCAATAAATTCTTACAGAGCAAGAGTTTATAAATTACTTTTCTACACAGAAAGTGCTCATGTTTGAAAGGCATTTGAAAATATACACATTTACTGTGGATGGGGAAAAAATGGAAATGCTATGAAACAGAACAGTTTCTGAAAGACCCATTATTTTTATTCCCCATAACTGGGGAAAAAACAACGCTCTAACAACCCTTACTGCATGTGCTGGGTTTTTTTTTTTGAACTGTCAGTAAATACTGACTCTGAGTTTCCTGCATAAAGCCATGGAGGAGGGAGACACGTTCCCTAAAACCTATAAAACACCATGTTCCTTCTGATCTCACCCGGCAACAGCTGCCCCAGGTAGGTTCATGCCAAGCAAACTCCTGGCTGATGCAATTCCACATTCACTCAAAAGGAATCCTGAGAAAACACTCCTGCATCCTGTGGGAATCACGTCCTTCCCAAAAATTCCTTCTCCCATGCAGAGCTGCCAGGCACATGAGATGCCGACAGCCTCGGCAGCCAGCAACCGAGGCCAGGAGCTCCGAGCTGTCCAGGGAGGGCTTTTGCAGGAAGCAAGTTTCTTCCACTTCTCAGCGCATCTCCCACACTCAGGGAATTGGTGCAGGCTGGAAAACAGTGAAAAATCTATAATGTTTTGTAAAACAGTGGAAAAACCATGGCCCATCACCTCTGCCAGGGCTCTGAGCACCTGCTGGGACCCTGAACAGGATGCTGAGAAACAGCCACGTGGGGCAGAGCTGCACCACTGCTTCTGCTTTGTTGCTCTCCTGGGCAGGGAAAGCCCACCAGGATGTTAACCTAGGGGAAACCAGAGGAAAGAGCAGCCCCTTGCAGCTATTGCTGTCGTTAGCCGCAGGCTCCCAGCCAGCTCCGCATCCACCTCCTTGCTAAGGATTCACAGGGAGCGTGCTCTGACAAGGGAGCTGACCTCCACACTGCTCCCAGGATGCTCTCACCGCTCTTGGACTGACCGAGCGCAAGCGGAGAGCAGACAGCAACGTGTGATGGCACAGGTCACCCACCAGCCGGGCAGGGACCACCACAGGGCCCTTTTCAGGGCTTTGAGACCGCATGGCCACCATGAAGGTGTGCCCACTGCTTCCCTGGTGACTTTTTGCTGACAAAAAGCAGGTTTATCCCTATAATTTGCACAACTGAAGCTCCAGAGCGGAGAAAAGGCATTTCTGTGAAACATAAAACAGTAAGAAATGGTGATGTGTTGGGTGTTTCGGCTGCACTTCTCCCGCGCTGGCAGCCCGGCTCTCCCCGGCACAACCTGCCCTGCAACGCTTCGGCACTACCCCTGCAGCGAACCCGTCGAACCAACCCTCCTGCTTTAATAAACTCCCTCTCCCGCCTGCGTGGGATCGTACGATTCGATTATTGCTATGAGCAGAGGCCCGACATTCCCAGTAGCAGCAGAAAGAGATGACATTCCCATGGTAATGCAGCAAAAGCCTAACTGGTATGCCCACCAGGATGGCTGCAGGCAGGAAAACCAGACAACTGCTTCACCCTCCACCAGGCCATCGAAAGGAACAAACTTCCTCTAAAATACCCCAAAACCAGAAGTCAGCTGTGGGGAAAAAAAATAAAAAAGGTGTGAGACTGATGGGTCACATCCCTCTGTTGGAGGCTGGAAAGCAGGACAATAGCTCTTCCCACGATTCACACATGGCCAGCACTTTCTCTAGCCAGGAGTCAACCTCGGACACCTTCCTCCTGAAAAACAGCATTCCCAAAGGAAGATCATACCCACCACCTCGACCCCAGGAGACCGTATGCAAAACCTGGTGTTGTAGCCACCACAGCCCTATGGCCACCACCGCTGGTTCAAGGACAGGCTTTGCTTTATTCCCTCCAGACGGAGCAAAGCAAACAGTTCTCAGACGGCATTCAACAGCAACGGGAAATTCACAGTATTTATTTTACTGTCCCCAGGAACTAACTGAGTCGGGATATTCTGAACTATCATGACAACAAATCCTCCAGTATTACGCTCTGAAAACAATTCTGACAGGAAGGATCTCAGTTAACAGATTTTCCCTCTTTTTTCAAAGGAATTCATATTTTTAGCGTCTTGTTATGCTGAAGTCCTTTACAACACATCGATAGCTGTGAGATATGTGCCCCTGCCCCCGGCTGGACCGCGCTCATGCACCTTGCTCAGCTCTGAGGCGCTGGGTGTTATTCTTGCTTCACTTTCATTCTGAACGGGTTTTGTCCCTCAGCTATTTCTGTAACCACCCAACTGGCTTTGGAAGGCCCCGAAAGAATGGAGTACTATGTCCAGCTCTAGGCCCCAACAGCAGAAGGACACGGAGCTGTTGGAGCGAGTCCAGAGGAGGCCCCGGAGATGCTCCGAGGGCTGGAGCCCCTCTGCCCTGGGGACAGGCTGGGGGAGTTGGGGGGTTCAGCCTGGAGAAGGGAAGCTCCGGGGAGACCTCAGAGCCCCTTCCAGTGCCTGGGGGGGCTACAAGAAAGCTGGGGGGGCTTTTCCCAAGGGCAGGGAGTGACAGGACAGGGGGTAACAGGTTTAAACGGAAAGAGGGGAGATTGAGATAGGGTATCAGGAAGGATTTCTTCCCAGAGAGGGTGGGGAGGCACTGGGACCGGTTGCCCAGAGGAACTGTGTACGCCCCAAA